GCATCTCCATCTTTTTTTTTCATGCAAGAGTTCGTCAGAGTTTTTTAGGATCTATCGGTTAAAATGTTATTTGTTTGAGGTAATAAATAGGCTAATAAAGGGTAGGGGATGTTTTATCTTAATACTACAAGATTATGGTTTAATAATGGCCTATAAAATTTATTAAATAGTAAGAATTTATAATCTAATCTGATTAATTTTGGAACTTATCAACTAAACTAATTGGTTAAAAGTTAGAGGGTTTGATAGTAGGATCCGATGATCAATCTCATCCTGCCTAATTATCATTTGTAAAGTATACAAACGACAAGAGTTAGTAAGTGAGAAAGGCATTTGAAGTGCCAACCAAAAGCCAGCTGTCGGTGCTCCAATCCCGTCGCCAAATGTCTCATCTCGATCAAAGAATCCTCGAATTCCCAAGTCATAGGTGACCTTCTCCGATCCATACATCGGTTGCAAGTAAATATGATTCAAATAATTGCAAGAAACCATTGGTATCGCAAGCAGAACATAGGAAATATGAGAATAGGAATCAAAAGAAATGCATAAGAAAAGATGCGACTCACAACACAATTGAATACGTCACCAATTTGCTCCCATTAACGCCACATACATTGCTTGATCTATTTTGCCTCCCTCTATATATATATATATATATATATATATATATATATATGCTCATTCCTGTAAATTTGTATCTTGTATATACATTCATGCAAGACTCAAAAACTTACAAATATGATGCTACAGTTAATCCAATTGGTTGGCAACATAATGAAAAATTAGAAATATATATAGTTAAATTTTAATATTTTTCAAAATAATGGTAATTGTGATTAATGAGTTTTTTTTTGTGTGATTAACGACAGTTGACTTGAATTTATCGAATGAATAGTAAAAGATTCAAATATTTGAAGTGACAAATATACTATTTCCAAATGTTGAAAGGAAAGATATCTAAAACTCCTATTTATCCTCCCTTACATTCATCGAGGTTTAATGAGTCGTCTTTTCTGTGGGTGACCGCCCATTCAATGTGTTGGGGAGGAAGCAAAGCTTCTCTCCGCAATAACTTTACGTCGGTCAGGGAATAAAAGGTTGAGGAATCATTGGATACAGATGATAAAAATCAAGTGCTTTCAGGACTATAGCAGCTAAAGGAAAGACAACAGATCACGAGAACAAAATGGAAAAGCAATGAATGAGCCGCTTTAATCCACAAAACCTTCACTCGAAGCGACAAACCATAATTATCCTACATGCAGAAATATTATCTGATTAGCAAGTGGACAGACACCTTTTATTATTATTATTATTGTTGTTGTTGTTGTTTTTTTTGTTGATGATAAGCCATGACGGATTAAAGTCCGTGACAGATCCCAATCCAATCAGAAATAACGTGGGCGGCAGCTTGGCATGGCGTAACATGCACGCTGTCCAAACCCGTGCAGCATTCCTCTCGTCGCCAGCTAGAAGAAGCCAAAACCCAGCTGGGTCACCTCTCTCTCTCTCTCTCTCTCCCTCTCCCTCTCCCTCTCCATCCTATTCTCCTTCAGACCTCTGAAGCTTTCTATGATGACTTCAATATGCTCAAATGTTCCAAAAGCCAAAACGCTGCACCTCTCTCTCTCTCTCTCTCTCTCTCCACTGTCTAGTTCTTACACTAATGTAATCAACAAACAACTAAAGCCATCATTACAACAACAATAGCACAACCAACCCCACTACAATGTTAAAGCCTAAGAATACGCCCAAAATGACGCCCTCATCATCACCCATACCAATGATAACAATACCATAACTACTTGCTAGTTTTCTTTCTTGTTCTATAAATGAGAAGATTAATAAGAAAGGAAGGAAGGAGTACCTCTATTTTGATTTAGTTGTTGGTTTGTTACTCTTCGTGTTCGTCTTCCGGAGGACCACCTCGGTGTCGAGGCCGAAGCCGTCGACCTTGCGGACGCGGACCACCTCGGAGTGGTTGAAGAGGGCGACGAGGCCATCGACCCCCCCGAGGAGGTCGTTGGCGGAGTACTTGTCGCCGCGGCGGTGCACCGCCAGATGCAACACCGCCACCCCACCCGGCCGCAGCGTTCGCTCCACCTCCGCCGCGAACCGCTCCGGGTACAGCGCGTGGTCGAACACGTTGGAGAACTCGAAGTCGAAGGACTCGTCCGGGAAGGGTTGCGCGTGGAAGTCGCCGGCCACCACCAGCGGCGGTGCCGGCACCAGGTCCATCCCCAGCGCGCCCCCCACGCCCAGCCCTCGCAGCGCCGCCACCTCCTGCCCTAGGCGGGCTCCGACGCAGAGCGCCGCGGAGGCGTTGGAGAGGAGGCCCTCGGCGGCCAGGTCGGCGAAGAACCGAGAGAATACGCGGACCTTGCGGTCCCAGTCGCGGGTCGCCCACAAGTGGCGGAGCCGGGGGTTGAGGGTCTTGTTCAGTTGCAGCTTGATGTAGTCGTCGTAGGAGCGGAAGCCCGGTCGGATGCGGATGAGCGCGGCGGTGGAGGAGGGGACGATGGCGGAGGAGATCGGGGTTTTCTTTGATTGTAGGTAGAGGTGGAAGAAGAGGAGTAAGGAGAGGAAGAGGAGGAGGAGGAAGAAGGGTTTGAGGAGGGGCTTTTTGGGGACGGACATGGGAATGGGACGAGAAGGAAGCGAGGAAGGATGAGACCGATGACGTTAAGAGAGTGACAGAGAAGACGACGACGTAACCCTCTTTCTCTCACTTGGTCTCGCCTTCTTCGCTTCTTTTGGGCTCCGAAAGTTTTAAAGGCATTGGGAATGCGTTGGGACGTCATGCGTGCGGTGTGATGGTCCGCAGGAACAGGATGGAATTCACTTTAAGTGGATGCCGGTTTCTAACGGGTAATCGAATGGGATCACGGAGACGGTTCTGCGAAGTGGGATTGCATGCGGATCCACTTTTGATAGGATCCTCCTACAGAATGGCCAATCGGGTCGGATTTTTTAATCGTCCCTTAAGTTATATATAATAAATTATGTTTTTATTACTGATGTACATAATGTTCATACGTCGACTTAAGCTTGAGGCCTATTATTCTATACAATAATATATTAATTAATTTATAAAACACTCAAGATAGAATATTTTTTTGAAGTTGTTAGATAGAAAACCACTTTGTAGGTGCGCAGGAGGTGCTCGATAAAATGCGTGTGGCTGCATCGTCACCATTATTACTATGACAATGACCATCAACCTACTTCGGTTCATGAGGCATCTTATGGTCCTTCAAACATGTCAACTATTTCTAATTTTTCGTTGTTTCCTTTTTCATTGCTATTTAAATGTTCATCCTTTGATACGCTCGTTTTAATCTCAACTAGTTTTAGTCTGAATTCTGACAGTGAAGTTTCTTATCAGGGGCAGAATTTATGGCAGTGGAGTTCGCAGCAAATCCGGCACAACAAGAAGAGTTGACCTCACTTACTACAGGAGTATGTTCTCTCTCTGTCTCTCTGTGATTTACCGAGACACTTATAATTTACAGGTTCTTATTTGTCAAGTTTGATATAACATAAAATCACCATAAACTTTGCAGCAAAAAATGTGCATGGAGTATGTTCTCTCTTTGCAGCAAAAAATGTGTCGTTTGTACGGTATGATATTATGATGTACTCTGCAGTTATGATGATATCGACCATGCATCTATGATGTACTCGACCATGCAGTTTGTGCTGTATTCTTTTTTAAGTATGCATGTGACTGAGAATGTTAGACTGTCGTTGATTTAAATAAGAAGTCAAGGAAATAGAACCCAAAGCCAATGAAATGTTATTTAATTATATGACTGAGACGCAAACTAAAACATGACTGCACATGATCGATAAGTTAGGTCATCCGACAATCCTGTTAATTAAACTCGGTTAATATGTTATTATGAACTTAACTGATTTTATTTAAGTGATGTGACATTTTTGCGTGTTTGGAGGGTCCGTCTTCCTAAAATCTCTTATGGTTGATACCTTAATGACCCACAAAAGAAAATATGAAATAAAAAAATATTAAATTCATGATCAACAAGTAACTATTTTCAGTAAATAATTGATAAGTAATATAAATTATAAATATAGATTTTACAAGCTCTAAATGATCGTACGATAAAGGGTTATGGGTTAGTTTATTATCTTCTTCCTCTTCACTTTTATCTTATCTCTCATCGTTGCTATCTCTCCTCTTCTTCCTCTTTCCCTTACAAGAACCATAGAAGTCCCTTAACTTTACCTCAAACACTCCACCCGACTCATCTTTAAGAATATCCTTGCATTGTTCTTTCCGATTACAACCACAATAGCTTCTTGTGGCACGGTAGCACCACCGTCCACTACCCCCACTAAAAAAAAAGAAAATACAATTAGGATATTGAAATTACTCTTTTGCTTATCATTTTTATAGCATTCCTACACATGTTAGCATTTACTGTATTTTTCGTCAATAAAACAAATGATATTAGGGTAAATAGATTAATTGTTTCACTTTTATAACTATACGGATTCCCATATAAATTTTTTAAGTCTAAGAATCGAAATACTAAAGAGACATAACTATAAGAGATAATATACAATTAGCTTAGTAACTATAATGATATTTATATTAATTTTAAAGTTTTACATCAATATATATTAAAATTAAAACATTAGGGGTAAATAAAAAATATTAAAGATTTAAGAATGTTTAAAAATATATATAATTTGTATCTTTTAGCTAATTTTATTATTTTTTAAAATTTTGAAAGTGTAAAATCTCCATTATTGATATGGAATATAAAATCAGTTAACCATTATTCACCGTATCAATGTCACGTGAGACCAACACCTTTTTTCTCATGTGGATAGGAGTCCAAAAGGCAGCTTAGGTCAGTTACCGAATTGCTAAGCTATCTCATTTGCAGAATATTTGTAAGAACATTCTTGGAAGTCCAAAAGGTAGCTCGAGTCAATTATAAACTGACTCCCTATGGGATATTCGTAAGAATATTCCTAAAAATTCAGGGGTAGCTCAGGTTGATTATAAACTGACTCCCTAGCGAAATACTCGTATGAATATTTTTCGAAAGTCTAAAAGGCGGTTCGAGTCGATTACGAACTACCTTTCCCTTGAAATCTTTATGAGATATTCTTTCTCCTCGATGTTAGTATAAAAATATACTCATAACTCTAGATTAAGAAAGAAAAAAAATAAAAGGACCTCAGTATTGACTTAACCATCGAAGGGATCCCCAACCAACCTTAATCTTTATGCAGACGTTATCTACAATGATATTAATAATTAGGGTCATGTTGTGCTAATAAAGATATTAATAATACTTTTTTTAAATAATTATTAATAAAAAAATAATAATATGATATACGGTGGTTAGTATATATGTTACATGTTTTTTTAAATAATTTTTATTCATTATATTAATCGACTTACAAGACGATCTATCAACTGTGCAACGGTCTCTTAGGATGTCTAGCAGAGACATTGCACGACTGATAGTTCTTTATGTTCCAATCCATATAAAAATATATTATATATTATTTAATATAATAAATAAAAAAAATATTTTTTGAAAAAAACAAAACAACGGAAATATCCATATTTGTGACATCATTTGAGCCGGCTAATTCGGCCCACGGGCCAAAGACATTTTAACGAATAGATTTATGTTAACAATTGATGTTGCGGATCGCATTATCCCTACTTGCTTGCTAACGAAGGGGATCACGGTGTGACGGGGGGCACTCGGTTGGTGTACGAGGGAGATGGAAGCGGAGCAGGAGATGACGAGGAGGCGAGTGTTGGTGACGTTCGACGTGGACGGGACGCTGATCCGGAGCACCGGCAGCGCCTCCAACCACCTCCATCGCCAGGCCTTCGCTCACGCCTTCCTGCGCGTCTTTGGCCTCCAAAACGCCACCATCGACGCCGTCCAGGTTCGTGATCTTGATGACCAAAGTGTCCAATGTCACATCACGTCCCTTTTGGTTAAAAAAAAAAAAAGAGCGGCATCCCATCGGATCGAACTTTCGATCCTGCTGTTGGGAGTAGAAATGCTGTCGTTGATTCTCATCAGAAATTTACTTTACATTTTTTAAGACGAGAATATTTAGAATAACTCTGATTTGGTTTTTTTTCTTTGTTTTTTATTGTCGATGTTAGGTTTTAAAATATATCGAGTATTTTCCTAATACTTTAGGCCTCTAGGATATATGTTAATAGAATCAAAATCTTTATCATGGTATCGAAGTAGGTTATGAGTTTGAATCCTACATCTGTCCCTCTTTATGTGTGTTTAATCAACAGTTATGTAGTGACCTCCTTAATTATCTTGCACCATTCACTTGAGGGTGGTTCATACTTCATGCGTCAAGCCTAATCTGGTCAGCACCATGTGAGATGGAATTTTAGAACTTAATAAATGATTGGTCTTTTCCTGGCAACTTAAGCTAAGCTTTTGAACTGGTAATTCAAATCAAAATCTTTATTACTTCAGTTATATATCTATTGTACATGATCTGATTTAAGCATCAGAAGACTCACTCCGGGTATCTCTCTATTGTGCATGATCTGATTTAAGCATTATGTCTTCTAATGCTTGCTCATAAGAAAAAATAGATTCTTGTTATAGCTTTACTGATGAATCTGAGAACACATCTGGAGAATGTGGAACCATTTCAACAGAAATTGTACGTGACATATGCATTGAGGGATTGCTGTATCCCCATCAAACTGTTTATCACTTCAGTTATCAATCTGATGTGCATGATCTGATTTAAGCATTAGCGTTATGTCTTCTAATGCTTGCTTAAGAAAATATAATATTGTTATAGCTTTACCATTGAGTTTTAAGGCTCATCCGGAGAATGTGGAGTCATTTCAACTGGGACTGTACATGATATATGCACTAAAAACATGCCAACGAAACACCATAAGCTCTATCATGTCTGTGTAGCTACGTGTCACAGAACTTGAAATGAAAATTTGTCAGCAGCACTTGGAAAAAGAAATAGCAATTAACAGCTTATCACTAGGATATTTTGAACTTCACTTGATTCTCCTGTCATCCATTGCTATTGTCGTCTCAAGTGTTTATGGTTGAATTGTCTGCTATTCTAATTCATTTTTATTTCGTCTGCAGCATCATGGCCAAACAGATCCCATTATACTTGTGAATACAGCCATTCACTATGGTGTATCTTCCAATGTTGGTAGCTTCAGAACTCTTTGTTTTTTTGTTTTCTTGTCCGTTACTATGATGTTGCTAGTAAACCCTGCAGAGAATACTACTGGATGCTTATTTTCTTTCTAAAACTAAATCAAGTTGTTAAATTGAAGCTTTATGACGGATATAATGTGGATAAGTTTTTCTTCTTCATTCTCAGTTCTGGCAGGTCGATGTCTAATAAGGTGGAGGATTTGTTTAGGAATGTTCAGTTTGGTGAATTCTGAAGAGAAACATCATTTGGTTACTTCCCTTTAAATCAGTAAACAAAATCAGATAATCTATTATGAAGTCCTATTTGACTATCTGATTTCTGTTTATTTTTCGGATGATATAGTGGAAATAGTAACTTTATAAACAATATTCCTTGCTCCTCTACTAAAAATGGTTAGCGGGAACATCAAAGCTACAAAAATAACTTTGGGAGTGTAACATACCAAATAGTCACTTCATATTAGGACCATACTACATGTTTAACACTGATCCATTCAATATTTATTATTGTTTCATTGTAAGCAATTTTCATCACAAAAGAGATTTTCCAAGTGCCTCCCTTTCGAATAAACGTAGACCTGGATAGCATTGAATATCAAAGAGTTCAATGCTAATTTTGAAAATTCAATCAGAACAGATTTAATGTTTTCATAAAATGAGATATTACACCACTAATCCTGAGAAAGGTACTTCCAAATAAGAATCAGTGTGCTGTGTGTTTGTGTGTGAACGTGTGTGTACAATACTTTCTTTTTCATGAGGTGCTGTAGAAGGTTATATACCATGAGAAAAAGGCAAAAGTCTTTATAACTTGCCAAAGACTGACAGATTTGAAGGAGTAAATATGGCTTGTAAAGGGTGATTTCCCTGTAGTATAGATGTCTGTTGCCACCATGTTCAATCAATTAGTGGATTCATGATGAAACCTTGAATGGGTGAGTTATTGATTAGGGTTATTCTAATTGTTGCCTGCAATTGTGAACCGCATCTGATGCAATGGGAACAGAAGTAAATGCTTTAGGCTTTTTAAAGTGTTTCAATCTATTGAATCAATGTATCAAAACCTGCCTTCTAACACTATATGGACACCATATGGTTGAAGACTAATTAAGAATAAAAATATTGCCTAAATAGTGGATAGCTTCCTTTTCAGTCTTTATGCTAAGAGCAACACTATAAATCCAAGAACTTGTTTAGATTGTAGATCACGGATTTTTTTTTCTAGTGAGACGTGCTTGTAGTGTACGGATCTGAATGTTCTAAAGCTCGCTTACCTTTGTGCACCTGTATTAGCAGTATGTTGAGATGGATGTGTCAGTTTAGTAGAAATGATATAGTAAGAATGTTTCCTATTGTGAACAATTAGGTATCTTTTTATTGAAGATAAAATGACAAAAAACCTTATAACATGGCTTGGACATGCCATCAACAGGGCTTGATAATAGGAAAATATCTACATAACCTACTCAAATAGTTGGGCTTATGGCTGTTTCTGTACACTTGTAACATATTGCAGGTACTCTTATCTTGAAATGTTTTAGTTTCTTTCAGCATAGTGTTTTATCACTTAACAATCCTGCACATTGATGGAGATGCGCGTAGTGGCATCTCATGAGTCATATTTGTTTTGTAGTCTATTTCCTTCAACTTGCATTGCAAATCTTTCTTTAGAACTTATTATACAATTGAACATGATTATTATTTACTACAAAATAAGAGTATGAAGTACCTCAATGTGTCCATTGCATTACTATATGATTTTCATTGCCTAATTTGAGTATCATAGAAACTGCATTATCTTTTACAGTAAAAACCATGGAGAAATATTTAAACCAGAACTGATGTTTAAAACATTGAAAAGATGAAAATAAACTTAAGTCTTGAAAGGAAAAAAAGAAATGGTAAATCTGTGTATTTGTGCATTTAGGTGCTATCATTTGATGTGTGAAAATGATGATGTTTTTCAGAAAAAACTAGATTATTTAAAGGACCCACTGAAAGATTGTGAGATCACAAAGATTTTGTCAAAGATATGAATTATCATATTCATAATTCCTACTTGGAAGGCAACTGAAGAAACATCCAACACTGCAGGTTGTCATTCTATATGTTGAGCATAGGCTGATCATTTCATCTGTTCTATTTATCTGATCGAACTTGGCAGATACTGATTTTGCACCCTTCTGTGTTTTTTATTTTTTTTATTTTTGAAGGACATATTCTTCAAATCTGGTAACAGCTACATACGTTTCTTTGTGACAGAAACCTGGCAATTTAACAAACAGAAGATTTCATGGCAACCTTTGGTATAGAAGACTTTTGGACTCTTCTAGTCCCTAGGAAGAAGTAGAGGTCTTAGAAGCTTAGATTATTTTGAACATCTTGGATTCTGTAAAGTATGGGCCGATCAATCCCAGATGCCAAGCAATTGCCAACTAAAATTTTGATTAGTATTATTAGTTAAAACTTTGGGATGTTCTTTATCAACTGTTCTTGTTTAGGTGGCTGCTTAAGATGTTCTTCTATTTCTCTGTCCCTCAGCCTTCTTCACTAACTGATTTGTTTAGGTGGCTGCTGAAAGACTTCCTGATATGAAGACAGAGATGCTTAAATATGCTAGAGAACATGTTGAAGAAATTGGAGAGGGGCTTGAGGTTCTTCCTGGTGTTGCTTCTTTGTTGGATGCTTTGTCTTCAAGTAATGTGGTTATTGGACTGGTAGGCTTGTTAACTTGTTGTATCAATTTGCATATTGTGTATGTTTAATCTAGTTTGTGGCTGAGAAGATGCAATCATTGCTTCAGTTTCTGGATCATCATTTAAATTAATCTTTTGGAGTGCCACTTATTTGTTTGGTTATTAATATCAAACCTATACTTAAATGTCAATAGAAATGGATGTTGATTACTTTCTTGTTTACTACATAACGAACTGGTTCGCTACATGTAGGATAGTGTTTTTTTTTGTTTCTTGTGTTTCTATAAGGTGGAATTTGCAGTTCTAACTTCTTATAAGTTTTGTAAATTTGTCCCTAGTTGGGATAGATTATTGTGCTCTGCTTTATTGTGACTTTTCTTTTTCTAACTTTTGCTAGTATTGAGTCTATTGACTGCTTTTTTAATCATCCTTTTCTCCTTGCAGCACTGCCTGTTGCAGGTTTATGACCACTTGAAAAGGAATTGTGGTTAATTTTTCTTTTCTCTAGAGGCTAGGTGCAATCACTTTGCATTGTCTTGGTTCTTGTGTTTCCTGCTGCTCAAGCTCTCATAATATTTTACTCAGCAATTGATAGCTCGAAGCCTATGTGGTTATGGATTCAAGTTTGATGCAGATTCAAGGAAACAACAAGGTTTATAAAACAGTGGTAGAGGTTCCTCGGAAGCATATATATATATATATAAACTTAAATTTTGAGCATTAATTATGCCGTTCTTGTTGTTAATTAGGATTCTTATATTAATTAATATTATTCAGGGGCTTTTAGATACTTATTTGGGCAAGACATCATTTTAGGGTATTAATAAGAATCGTTAATTAGGGTGACAATTTAGTTTGTCATAGATTATGGAAATTTTAAATGTTAATTAGGGACTTTGAACATAATTAAGGACAAAGTCAAATTCAAGATATTAATTAGAAAAGTCAAGGAGGGGAGTTATTTTTGTACATGAGACCTGCAAAATTTTTGTTACTTTTTCTTCATATTATTTTAAAAGCAAACATCAACACTGTGTTAGCCAATGAATATTATGATATGTGTGAATATATGTATCTTTGGCGGGTTAATGAGTCGTATAATTTATGTGTATATGTATATATGTGTCTTTGACCAAATGTTAAACACTTGTATTGCCTTAGGAGGAGAAGATCTAAAAATTAGTGATGTATCATTAGATCTAACTTTTCTTCTTTTTTTTTTTTCTGTATCCAACAGCTTATATAGAAAGAAATAAGCTCATTAACTCTAGTATTATAGGATTTGTTCACTTTTTAGGATGAATGGCATCATAATTCCAAATATTAAAAGTCATGATTCCAGTTTTTAGGAATGTTCTCCCTATGAAGATTCCAAATCATCAAGATATAGGACTTATGCAAGGTTCTCGCTACCAAGAGCCAAGGATCATTTTCTCACTTGTAGAGTCCTTTTGTGGCTAATTCCTTTCTTTTAGGTATTTGCTTGTGAGACAAGAATCTTACCTAAATACCGTTTATGTTTTCATGGTCAGTTATACCTCAATGTCTTGTAATTTCCTTTTAGCCATGGAGCCATTTTCTGTGTTATTCTTCAAGTTGATATTTATTGTCGAAAGTTCGAAGTCCTTCCGTCGGTTGACAAGAGCAAAGCTTGTATAACTGGCGTTACTTTTCTGACTCAGCATCTACAAACTTGATCCCTCGCATGTCTCATGGATTCTTGGATTTTGCATCAGCCACATCTATTATTCCATTACCTTAGATGTACTTGCTAATGTTTATGTGACAAATTTACTTTGTATTTTAGATGTTGCAAAAAGACAATTTCTTGATTTTTCAGCAATGGTATGCAGTTGGAAAATTAACTAGTAAACCAACAATCGGAACATTAACATTCTTCAGCTTGATTTTCGGAGCTCTCAAATTGTTTGATCTACATTCACTATGAACATTGAGCTTTCAACTGTTTTTCATGCTCTGAAATTTCTATCGAGTATTTTATCTGGTTATACGATTTATGTTTTTCTCATGGATTTATTTTCTACTCAATGTTATTTGATGCCTGCACTCATTACATCTTCGGTCAACAATTTTCTTGGTAAGATAGCTCAAGTTACTGTTAGTTTGCTGTGCTTTTCAGTAAGCCTTTGGATTCTGAAACTCTAGATTCTATCTTGCTCTTTCTTGATACAAGAATTGCAAGATGCTTATCAGCAGTTTTCTGGAATCTTGCTATGTCATAGGTCACAGGCAATCTAGAAGAGATTGCATGGATGAAGATGGATGGATTGGGCATCAGAAAATATTTTACAGTTCCAAACTTTGGAGGGTGAGTCAAAAGAGTAGTGATCTCTATTATCATTCTTTTTTCTAATATGGATCTTCAGGGTTATCTTTTTCGGCTAATATTTCAGTATTGACATATTCTGCTAGATTTGGAAGTGATCACATTGATCGAGGGCATTTAGTGAAGATTGCAGCTGACAGAGCCAAAGAACTATGTCCTGCAGGATTTGACTTACGTGTGCATGTTGGAGATACAGTATGTCACATTTATATTCCCATAAATTGAATTACATCTTCATTTAGAAAATGGCACATATCATATTGTGTAAGACTAGTGTTGGGGGGATTGGCTTACTGGTGAGTTAATGTACGTGTTATGCTTCAATGTTATGAAGAGTTAGAGAATCACCAACTGTTCTTGCTTACCTTTTAATTCTTCTTCCATTTTACTGTTTTCTCAGTAAAGTGAGCTTGCAGCTTAAGTGTTTGCTATTCATTCAGATAATATAGAACTGAGACAGTATGATAACTCAATTACATCATGTTGCTTGTTTTTCGTGTATTTTTTTTTTGTTTTTGGAAATTGGGGAGGTCGCATTTATTGAAGTTATCAAAGTCCAATGCTTGTAACTTGTCAATGTTTACATGTACCCTATGCCATGAAAACTATTTATTGTAGATACTATTCTTAACACTTCACGGTCAGAGTCAATCTGATATGTGTAAAATTGGAATGCAGAACATTATCTTGATCTAATGCCACAAAACGCAGAAAATTTTCAACATATTCATGTGTTAGACACTAATGCTAATACACTAAACTTATGTTGAATTTACTCATTTTAGGTGATGATGAAAAGGCCAATTCTTTTCTAGGTGCTTTTGTATATATAGTAGATCATCTTGACAGTGCCATTATTTTTCTTTGAAGCACTTTGTTATTGATTTTGAATATAAATACTAGGTATTGCATACATTTTGATTTTATTCGTTGGATGTACGGATGCACACATTATAAAAGAAATTCTTTAGTTAAAGCTTTTAGAAATGTGTTTACTTGTGATTCAGTGTTTTAACATTTTACCTTTCCCATATTTTTGTAGCCAAATGACATCAAAGCTGCAGAATATGGAGGAGCGCTTGCAATAGGAGTATGTACAGGTATATTTACTGAGGAGGAGCTGAAGAAGTCTAGCTGTGGCAGTGCAATCATACTCTCTGATCTTACTGATAGCACAACTTTCATGAATCTGCTGGGTATCGAAGGCTAATTTATCTGCAGTCCCCAGAAAAAGGATCTCTTCTTACAATTCTCCTCACAAAGTATGGTTGACTGGAATCTTTTTGAACAATATGATATTTTGTATTGTATGCTTCTGGACATTTATGTTTTGTATTCCTGTCTATCCTTGAAACTGTTCGTTCTTGGGTCCTCTTTGACATAGTTGGAAGGAAATCTGTTTATTGTGATTCCTAAATTTTAGCTATAACAATACCTGGTATTGGCTTCATAGTTGGTTTGCAGCCCCAAAAGACTTATGTTGTGGTCATTAAACATGTTGATTCCTCCTTGTTTTACTTTCCTTCCTCAGCATATTCATGACTAAGATTCACAGGGCATATGATACATGTACATGGAAGCCATTCATAAAAGTTGGTCCTTGACATTTTTAGTATAATTTGCATATGCAAAATTGCTTTTTACATTGACTTAATCATTCTGAAATGTTTTCTAGAGTGTTGTGGTCTCTCACAGACCTAATGCACTCCTTCAGCAGCTTCTATGGCACACTAGAACTTATCTTCTGGGATACAGCTTACATGTGATGCCTTTGTACACAGCCAGGAAATTGGTAATGAGCTCCCTCCAGGATGAGTCCTTGATTGTGACTGCATGTGCTGAATGCTGCCTGTCCTGTCTCCAGTGTGCCAGCACATCTATTTGCAATTGGCAGAACATGATTGGGACGTGATCAACGCGGTCATGGCTCCGCACATGGATATGTATAATTGCCAGGTAACATTTGCTTTCGCTTTTTGAAATTAACCATCATGATCATAGATGTGTTTCTTTCGATTTTTGCATGTAGATTCTTGATAGAGATGAAGGAAGCTCCATGAATGGCTGTTTGACACACCAACCACTATGAAACCTTGTGTCAAAAGACAACATGAGATGGATGGAGTGGGTGATCTGCCTTGCTGATTTACTTGGTTTTCAAAGTTGATGGCTTAGCTGGCCATGCCTCAATCTTGGGTGTCACCCATGTGACTAACTTGGCTTATTCATGCCAAGTCATGATGATGATTGCCTCTGTGCAAAGTTTAGATCTGAGAGGTCATTTTACTTTGAAGATATTCTGCTAAGGAATTGCATGTGATTAGTAGATGTCATCTCTGCTACTAGTTCTCAACTGTGTGTGCTCCTGCACCAAATAGCATGCAGATCCAAGTTGTCTGACATTGTCTGGAATCAATGCTGCAAATGATGCTATCTGTAAAGGATGGACCATTAGGAATTCCATTGTGGAATTTGGATCTTCCCCCCAGTGTGTCTGTCACTGGTACAAAAAGTTTGACTGGTACATAGAAACTATATGCTGAACAAAACCATGCTGCATTGTGTTTTACCTCCTTTTATTATGAATATTGATTGTTTGTCTCTCTGCTTTGTTTTCTCTACCTAGAAAACCCGGACCTCTTGTGAAAGCTGGTAATCAAATTGATTTGATTGTCTATTATCATTTCAGGCAGGAGATAAAATATTTTTTGATTTTGATGTCAAAAGGATGAAGGTAAAACAATAATCTTAAATAGTAAAAATGATATAATGAAATTTATATTAAAAACATTCAGTGTAATTATTTCATGATTAAGCTAAATTAAGTGAGAAATTAATATTTCACCATTTAAACATGAAAGTGTGCTATACACCTTCTAAAAAATTATAAGATGATGGGAATAAATTTCATTCTTCAACATTTTCTGCTTGCATGTTTGTTAAAATACTTTGATTACTAGCACAAATATGGAGGGAATTCAGACTTATATGACAGTATTTTAGGCTTTTGAAATTGTTGATTAATCTCAGCTTCATAAAATCATACACAAATGTTAAATTAAGTAATTTGTTTTATGGTGTAAACTAATGTTAATGCAACAATTTAGGATTAATCAGCATATAAAAAGATAATAATTTCCCCATGCTTTAGTCTTGGCAAGTCCTATGATTTGAAGATGCTACCTTCATTTCATTACATGATCTATATGTAATTTCTATTTATTGTAGATTAAGTTTAGAGTTTTTTTTTTTTGCTCATGTTTGATTACTATTCTTAATCAAATCACTAAGGATTACATATCTTCTCTCATGTCTGTATTATACACTTGTAATAATAAGGCCAAGTTACATGTGAACATCAACATAAATGTGGGCCAATGAAAGCCGACTTTGCCTGCATGATGTACTTCAACTTTCTTGCCACATAATTTTGATAAGGACACCACACATGCAGCTATATATATATATATATATATATATACAAATGTTCTATAGAGGCATAGAGATGTTATCGTTAGATAAAATAAAATATAAAATAATTAATATTAATGGTAAAACATATAGAATACAACTTCTTGCATGTAAAAATTCTCTTATACACTTTAAAACATAAATCTTATAAAAATTAATCCCTTATGGAGAATATCTCAAAATATCTCATAATCTCATATAAAAATATCTCATATTTTTTTTATATTTTTTCTCAAAATATAAAAAAAATGAGATATTTACATAAAAATCGAAACCTTTCACATTTGAATTTTTTGGTAAAAGTACTTTCCGTGATGGCATCAACTGGATTATCCTAACCATCTATTCTGATAAAAGAGTAGCATAATCCTAACCATCATTTAATCTAATCGAAAAATACATAAGAAAATAGCAGCCATTTATTTACATAGATTCGGATCTTTTTGAAGCATCTCTTTCCAAGATCCCAAATCCCCAATCCCCCATTCACAATGGCCCGAGGATCCTCTGTCTCACGCTATCACAGGGTTCGGGTTTCTCCCTCTCATGCGGCCGCTGCTTTTATTTACTTTTTCTTGGTGGATGCTGTTCGTGTCAAACAGCTGATCCGTGCTTCTGTTCTAAAGTATTGGACACGCGTCGTCATCCATCTCGCCTTGCACGCTTCCCCCGTCGTTGGCGCCCTGCACCAATCCCTGTACACCATCAGCAATCACCGGCTCACTCGCCTATTTATGCCGTTGGAAAAGCCATGGCCTCGCACATCCCCTACAAGGGCCTTTTACTTGATTACGTGGCCTTATAATGAACGTTAAGATAAGGCTCTTAACAGTGAATCGCACTGCGTATCATACGTGCGTGAAGATACGTCGTGCGTTTGTCATATATTACCTGTGCGTTATATCTATACATTACTTCAATGCTTACTTATTCCTTTTAATTTTCCTTTTAGCCCTCCGGTTAATTCGTTGAGGCAGAAGAGAAGGAAGACGAGAGGGTTGCCGATGGAGTTGTGAGAGCCTATAGTGCGTTGGCGATTAGGGCTCGTGCTGCGGGCCCAATACAAACTTCGACGGGCGGAGGAAATGGCCGCATTGGAAGCTCTGGATGCGCTCTTGGCCGCGGCGAGCAGAGCTTGCTGCAGCCCCCTCGCCATCTTCATCCAGATCCAGGTAGGCGCATTTAGTCGGTTTTGGATGGGATTTCCTTTCTTTGTCCTCCGTTTCTCTGCCTCCGGATCTGGAGAACATATGTACCCTGCGTCATATTCCACCCCCCCGTCGTCCTTTTACTTGGTACTTCTTTATCCTTTAATGCCGATTAATGGAGTTGCGGCTATGATGAGGAAACTGTCTCTTATTTTCTTAATCCTCTTTTCTATTATTTTTTCTTGTGTTCATATTCCTGTTTTGCTTGGGGACTTGAATTGATTCGGCGTCCATTGTTCACTGTTGTGCTCTATTGGATGTCAATGGTTAACTTGTCGGCAGATCTGGGTATCTGAAGTCAGATTGATTGTCCAGAATGAGACTCTTCTTTTGAATTCACAGGAAGTTTGTGCGGATTCTTTTTGAGAAAGATACGTCCCGGGGATGTTTCCTCTAACATAAATCGTTATTGGTCTTATGGTGTGACCACGGAATCCTCAAAGGATGCGTTGAAAACACTCCTACAGCTAAGTTATTGAGAACACTGTATAATTGTGCAGAGCTCATTCAAAAGGATTGGCAAAGGTGGAAAAGGAGTGTTCCTCACAATCGTAATTGGTCTTAATGGTGTGACCATGGAATCTTCAAAGGATGCGTTGAAAACACTTACTCCTAAGTTATGGATGTATCATTGTGAAGAGCTCATTCAAATGAATTGGTAAAGGTGGAAAGGAGTGTTCCTCACCCAGTTGCATTGGTAACTAGGAGAGGAGCTGTGTTTGACCAATAGGCAGTGGCGTTGCATGGTGCATTCATTTGTTCATGGAAGACAAGTAGATTGAGCTAGCGAGACAAGGGACACAATTAAAAGGAATTGTAAGGAAAAAAATAAGTGATTATTTGTGCGTCTTTCTCAATTCTGCCACCTTTTCTGCTTCTCGTTGCTCAAGTTGGAAGAAACCAATCAACCTTTTGAAGTTAGTGTATGTAGAAGATGAACCTCGGTTGAATCTTTGGGCTGCAAATTAATCTGCACGAGGGGCAGAACAAGCTGTAGGATAGCTTCGGCGCCTCTGGGTTCTATTTTCTAAAATTTTCTCTATATTTTTTAAGACCTAATTTGTTAGTTATTTTATCAAAAACCAGATTATTTTATATTGTAGTTCTAACGTGATCTTGCTTGATAGACCTATCAGACAAGATATAATGGATGGTAAACAAATCGTCTGAAGTACTCCATCCCAAGATATATATCCCAAGCTAATCCATTTTTGATATAATTGGGACAACCTTCTTCATTTGAATTGGCCAATAATTAGCCTATTTCAGTATATTCCAGCATCTGGCAGCCAATCAATGGATGCCAGTCCTTTTGTTCAGCCCTTACATGGACTTGTCCAGCCGAGTCCAGCTCGCACGATCCAGCATGGATGAGTCGTTGTTAATACTTCACTCCTACTTGTAGGAGAAAAAGAAGTATCCAGCTATAACAGGATAAATTGGGTTCATTTCTAGTTGAAATAGGAGTTGAGAAAGAGGCTTTCATCAACCTCTTAGTTGAGCTATGAGAGGGCTGACAAAGGCTCTTCACCCAGCCTTTTGGGGATTTAGATGAGGTTTTTACCCCTGCTCTTCAGTAATTTCTGGATGGATTTTTATCACTAAATATTTTGCATTGTATTCAGAGTCAAATTTTGGTCCGGTCGATATTTAAGAATAATATGGGTCGGGAAAGTTATTAAGCTATTAGAAGTTATGTTTGGAGAACTAAAGGTCTCTTTAGGTATGATGTATTGGGATTCAAAAGAGAACCTTTTTTTGTCACAAGTCTTCCTAAAAGCCCTAGGAACATATGAGTTTTAAGTTGTCTTTATTTATTGCTTCGGTTATAAATAAATATTAGAACAGCTTTAAGGATCTTATCTCCCTTGATATGTAGTCATCCTTGTTAGAAAGGGCATCTTTCAATTTCCTGTCACTATTTTCTTGTGTTGCTACCTTTATCCTGGCTCTTTCTATTATCATATGGTTTTACTTTTACATTAGTTCCATGTTCTCTTTATTTCATGTGGGCTTCTTATAGATGATCTGTTAAAGAAACAGCAACTAAGAACTCTTTTTTTGTGTCTATAGGGTTGTGTAATCTGTTTAACCCTTGCTCTTGGATGGGCCTGTGCTGCCTATATCAGGTAATTTTTTCTTCAACAATAGCAAGATAACTATAGATACTTGCTATGCAATTTTTTGCTATGTGACAAATAGAAGCACGTGTTATGCAGTTTCTTTCTATTCTCAGGAATAAAGTTATCCGGCGCATGAAGCTTAATATTGTGAATGGCAATAGTTTTGCATTCATCTGTGAAGATGTTAATGATCTCGAGCACTCTGCTCAGGTGAACTTGCCAAGAGTGTCGGTTATCATGCCTCTGAAAGGCTTTGGAGAACACAACTTGCAAAATTGGAGAAGTCAAGTGAGTTATATAGTATTTCAAAAAAAGAAGTGTTGATAGAAATGTAAATGTACATGAATTTAAGGAAATATAGGTCCTTCAACTTATCTGTGGCATTCATATTTTGCAGCTCATTTGTATCTGGAGATGGTTTCCTTTCACATCAGTTAAATCTCACTCAACTAAAGTACTATTGACAAATTCTATGAATGCAGATCACTTCACTCTATGGAGGACCTCTCGAGTTTCTTTTTATAGTTGAAAGTACTGATGATCCAGCTTACCGTGCTGTGTCTTTGCTCATTTCAGATTTTCAGGTAGATATGCTTCCCTGCATATATTGCTTCTTACAGCTAAGACAGTTCCCTGGATATGTGTCCCTGTATATTGTGCTTCTTATGGCTAAGGACAGTTCCTTTGTTGATTAATTTTCAATTTACCTTTCGCGGGCATTTCCTTTGGGATACTAAGAGTTGTTTTAACTTTTGAAAATTTGAGGGTCTTAGCATTTAGGATAACTAAAGTTTCTTTGGGTAGGATAATAAGCAATTTAAGTGGTTTTGTTCAAATTTGTTATGCTTCATAGGTGGTAATACTGGAGTAGGGAACATTTACAATGCTGCATATACATGATTATGTTTGGATGTAGTCCGTCCTGGTCAACCTCGTACTTAATCTTCTTTGATCATCCATTCACTTGCAATTCTTCAATTCTTAGATGACATAGGAGTGTCTTATATAAAATAGAGATATACTGCCCGTTCATATGATCTTTCTTTACAATTATCAGATTTACATTTTTTGGTGGATATTGACATCTGCAGGACTTAATATCCGAAAAAGCATGTCATAGTGATTGGTTAAAAGCTCAGTAAAGTTTCATTTATATGGTTTTTGACTTGTATCTATTTTTGACTGTTTGTCTAAATGTCTATTCATCCTTTTGAAATTCCTGACCGAAAGTCATGCATGCATAATTTACAGGACAACATTGATGCAAAGGTTATTGTAGCTGGTTTGTCAACAACATGCAGTCAGAAGATTCATAATCAGTTAGTATGTAAAGTGATTCTATTATTTTGGCGAGAGACTACTGCTTTTAAGCTTCCTTTTGTCTGTGCTTTTGACTTTTTATACTTTTCCTTGCTATAAGTATTAAAAGAAATATAAGGTTCAATATTTTCTTAGCAAGATTGATATACTAGCCTTAGATTAAGTTTTGGACATGTACATTTCATACGATTATACTGAACTATTGAATGCGATAGAATAGGAATCTGAAAAAACCTCTCCCTTTGTTAAGATTATGCCAGTTCTTTCCCTACATCAATTTTTACTTCCATAAACCAAAACATTTATACTGTCACAGCTTTGTAAGTTACAGTTTTATTAATATAATTTATAGCATTTCGGAAGTATTATGTTATCTCTGACTGATTAATGTCTTGCATATTCTGGTATATACTATGTTAAAAGTTTTTTTTTCTGTTCTTTCTGTAGAAACCAAGATATTCCATTTTATTTCTTGATCATAGCAAGTTATTGTTTTAGATTCATCCTTCATTATTTAACAAGGGTAGGGCTGCACCGTGTGAGAATCTTTGTTACAAATACACGAGCACTTACCATAGAGCATGCAGTTTGGAATGTTAGTTTGGTGGACAATTAAAAACATGTTTATTAGATAACTACTTCTGTAGTTATAATTTGATCTCAAGTCTATTAGAAACTACTTGCTGAAAGAAAACTGTTATAATTATTTAATGGAAAGTCAGAGAGGTGAAGCTCTGGAATCAAGTTCTTTATCAAAATTTCTTCAGGACAAGCTATTTGATTTGTCTGAAGTTCAAACCCAGATAAACTATTATAATCTATTAGTGTCTTAGTAAGGTATGTCATTCTGGGATGGTTGAATTGAAGATACATATTTGACTTAATGCATCTCAGCAGCACTTTCTTTGATAAACTGAATTGGGCAAGTAAAATCATGTTATGTATAACGACAGGGGTTAGAGGTAATAAATGAGATATACTGGTTTTTTTAAAGATTAATAGAAAGAGAAAAATAAAGCTTCTTTTGTTGTGTCCAATTGTCTCATGACATATTTTTGCCTTTAATATGAACATTTTTCCCTACTAGAAAACCTGTAATATTTCCTTCTGGAAGTTTTTGAACATCTGATAAGTTCCACAGTGATACTCACATTTACATATTATTGCTACTTACATATATTTATTTTAATCTCGTCTTATCATTTTTGAGTGAGGTCCACTGCATAATTCATGTTGGTTTGAAACTCTGTACCAAGTTGAGTTGGTAAACATTATCTATCATGCTTCCATTAGAACCTCCATGATCTTGAATTATGTTTTCCATCTCCTTGGTTTTGAGTCTTTCCTTGGAATGATTGATTAGCCACATAAAGCCTAAAATATGGACATATGGGTTAAGCACAGTTTTATGTGCTGCTAATACAACCACAACAAAGACAACAACAACAAGCGATAATGTTTTGATTATTTAAGGTCCACATGAATATTTTCTTATCACTGAGATTTATAAAAAAATATATTCTTAGTTAAATTAAGAGTATTTAAATCGTTATCTATGGTGTCTAGTAAAACTTTATTTAGGTCTCCCTCTACCTCTTATTATATCGTTAATATTAATTGGCTGATTTCTTCTAACCAAAACATCTGTAGGTCTCCTTGGTATATGAAAATATCATTTTAAATGATTTTTCTTTGCTATGCCTAATTGTTCATTTCTTTTCCTATCTTTACTATTACCTCCACACATTACCTCAATATTCTCATCTAAGTGATACAACTTTTTTATTTATGTTGTTTCTTAATCATCTACACTCATATTCAAAAAATATATATTTAGTAACATTGTGTGTCAAGCAATGGTTTAAAGAGGTGCCCGGGTGCTTGCCTAGGTGCTCGGGTGAGGCGAGGCGAGGCTTGAGCACCTCAAGGCTTGCTTAGGCGGCACGTTTCACTTAAGCACCGCATGGGTGCTTGTAAACCCAAGCGCCAAGCGCCTTAGACGAGCGCTCGGTTGAAGCAAAGCAACCGAACCAGACTTGATTGTCTGTTTCGATTGAACTAACTAAGCTAAATAGCTGATGCATGTCGCTTGGGCACTCACGAACCCAAGCGTCGAGCGCTAGGTTGAAGCAAATCAATCGAACCAGAATTGATAGTCTGGTTCGGTTGAACAGTATCTTATTTGGTCCAATTGAACCAACTAAGCTAAATAGCTTTACTAAAGCTATGCAACCCTCCCCCCACGCGACCCCGACCCATAAACCAACCCTACTATATGTGTGGTCGCTGCCTCTGCTGTTAATGCACAGGTTCAACGCTTCCTTTATCGCCAACGAACACATCCGAAGGTCTAGCTTTCGTGCGCAATTCCCTTCGTCGTTTTGCTTCTGTGTGCAGCTCCTTCTACCATCGAGGGAGAGGACCGTAACTTCCTTCGCCACCAATGGACACATCTGAAGTTTCCTCTGCACACGACATCATAGCCCGCAACTTTCTCCACCAAAATGGACCACCTCGTCAAGCGGTTGCGTCTCACACACGGTCACCTTGCTGCACATTGTCGCCATTGCTCTAATCGCGTCTGACATACACAGCAGGATACATCATGCGACCTTGTTTCACACCATCACCGCACACAAATGTCTACCGGGTACTTCTCTTCTCTTCCTCTTCCTCTTCCTCTTCCATCTCCTCTTCTTCCTTCCTCTTCCTTCATTGCCCCTTCCTCTTCTCCTTGTATGTACTGGTGTACTAACACACAAAACATCAGTACTAACCAGTATGTACTGATCCAACAAGATCACCGAAATGGATTCGGTACCTAAAATGCCGATCCTTGGATTTACCATATGTAACCCTTTAAAATATATGTTTCACATAAATGTGGAAAGCTTACATTTGAGGTCTTGTATGCTGCTAGGATTGAAAGAATATACAGACTCCGGCACTATGGTTCCTGTGCCTTGTGATTCAAGAAACTATTGGATTATAAGGATCCTCCATCCATGATTCATTATGTATGCATCACATAAACTTCCAAGTTCCAACTTAAAACATTGTCCTAAGTTTCGATCTCTTCTGAATTGGTCTTTGGACCTTGGATTGAGAACCTTCTTGTAGATTTGGAAATAATTTTTTGACTGCAATATATTTCTCCAGAGTTATTATGAAAAAATTGCATTATGAGTAATTTTTCCCTCTCTAGCCTCTTTATCAAAATAAAGTTTGACACCGTCCTTGTTTCATGAAATTTTTTTTGAAGTGGCCTCATTTTGGATGATGTGGAAACCATCTCTTCAGCTGTAATCATCAATTGCAGTTTATGGAAAAATCACAATTTACAATAGTGATTTTAGGAAAATAGCAGCTACTTCAATAGCGGTTCTAAACCGCCATTGCTATTGATGCAGTTATCGCCTACTTAACTTTTGCGTGGCTAAAAGGAGTATAGTCTCAGATATTTTTAACAAAGGGCTGCTCTTAATTTTTATCTAAAATAAGACTAGTCAATAAAAAAAATCCATTTTGAGATGGTAAAGCCATGATTTTTAAACTTCACAGATGCTTGACACTTTTGGTTCTCTTTGAACTCGATATTTTTCTGCTGTCCTCCATCAATGAGTTTCTTTGTTCCTAAATGACAAATGAAAAGTGACTTTTAAGCATCATGCAATCTTATTGCAGGTTGGTGTGGAAAGAATGCATAAAGAGAGCAAGTACGTGTTGTTCCTGGATGATGATGTTAGGCTCCATCCTGGATCAATAGGAGCCCTTACATCAGAAATGGAGAAAAATCCTGAGGTACTAAATTTGTTGCAATCGACACATCACTGTTATAAACCTATAACTCTTTGTCAGCTTATAGCTTTTTTTAATTTCTTTTCCATGTACAAATTGAATTATATTTTTCTTTTGTGCAGATTTTCATTCAAACAGGTTATCCTCTTGATTTGCCCTCAGGAAACTTAGGAAGCTACTGCATATATGAATATCACATGGTATGAGTATATCTGAAATTTCATTTTCTGTTATTTTTCTTATTTTTTGTAAGTTCTATACTTTTAACAGGGTCATGAGATTAAAATGGATTACTAGATACCATGCTGTGCATATTGCCTGCATGTTTCACTATGAAAACTTTTTTTCACTAGGTATGAGAGGCTTCCCCATGCATAAGATGCTGTAGGGCTGCTGGAAGAATCTTCTTTGTAGTCTGTGTTGGCAGAGATGATACTATCTCCTTTTTCTTTAATTTTTTCATTCCAAGCACAAGACAATATGAATGTTACAAAAAAAAAATTGTTTAATTTATTCAACTCCTTTTTTGATCAACCTATTTCCATCATATCATACACAAGTCCATGCTAGTCATCAAGTGGCATGGGGTTGTCCTATGTAAGTAAAGACCTTGTTAATATTGACTGGCTAAGGAATAACTGAGTTTTGCATTACAATGAGTTTTATGTTGTTCTAATTGATGACTAGAGAGAATAATTCAAGACAGCTGGAATATGTCCAAGGAGGCCATATAATTTATTTATAACAAAATTTGAGTTAATTTTGTTTAGAGGTTTTGGCCGAGGGAGAGGCAGACAAATCATGGTATGATCTTAAAAATAGTGCAAAGTAATGTGACTAGAAGTAGATGTTATTCTTAATAATACAGGACATGATCCATATAGTCCTATAAGGAATGAAGACTTTGGTAATGAAATGCAATTTTGAAAATTTTAGAAGCATGAAAGGTAGATCAATGAGGAAGAGGCATGACATAACTCTCTCAGATAATTTTTCTCAACTCTATAAACTGACTTGGTAATAGCTACATACTCATACCTATATTTATAGACAAAATTCATCTATATTGCCTACGTAACTTTACGATCGGCATTAAAATGAAAAACTTTATCTAAGACTTCCTTATTCCTAATTGTGGCTGCCGACTCCTATTTTTAATAGCTAATTATAGTTATACATTAGCTGGTAAGTTAAAGTTACCAACTTAGATAAGTCATTTCACACAAAAATTAAATTAAACATTCTTATTCTGTTCTCTCTCTCTCTCTCTCTCTCTCTCTCTCTCTCTCTCTCTCTCTCAATTTCTCTCTCTGTCCCCTTCTCTTACTGTTGATGAGGCATCGGTTAACCCCTGTGACTATTAAGATTCTTGTTTAACAATTTTTTGGGACATTCAAAACTTTAATGATGGTACTTAATCAACTGATCTATAACCTTTCAACTGAAGAGACCATAGAATACAAATAATATCACTCAAGGAACACACCTGTCAAGTGTCTCTTCATGGTCCTTTCTGAAAAGGAAAATTTTCCCTCAGAATCTAATTGAATTTGTGATATTGACATATAGGCACATAGCACGGGTGATGCTTGTCCGTCATGAATTAAAATTCAAGAAAAACTTCTTCAAGCAGTTTATCCATTACTTGTCTGAAAAATGCGTTTGCCACAGTCTCACATGCTTTACAAACTATCATCTTGTTCTAGAATTTCACGAAATTTGTGTCATGAGGTTGAGCAGAATTATTAGTGTCACCCAAATTTTTAGCTGCGTATCAAGACATCTTGATTCATGCTATTGTTTGTTTGCCTCACCTACTTCTGCAAGCCTCCCTTAGTGTTGTGAGTCTTGTGACAACATAATGCCCATGCTTGGGATATGTAACGATAATGTTTATTACTTTCAAAACATTCCATCATCAGACTTTGGTTAACCAAAATCACACTTGAAATTATATTATCTTAATTCACCACCATAGATTATACTAGTTTCAATCCATTGAAAGATCACCATAAATCAATTTTAGAATTCATTATATTTGAAAAATTCCAATGAAAAAGCTTGTTGGTTATGGCTTTCTTAGACTACAAACTTGTGGAAATCCTTCTCTTTTTAACTTTCAGTATCCCATTTGTTTCTTCTGAAGGAAGTTGAAAGTGCAATGCTACTTCCCAATATATATGTTGCAAGGACAGGTTTAGATTTTTAAGAAGATCATGTTCATATTCTATACAATAGTTTGGAAGGTTTCTGGCAGATTTGATGAGCATAACTTTCAAATGAAAGTATCTGTTCCTCAATTGACCTTTATATTATGTCAGCCCCTCTTTTTGCTGCTATGTTCAGGAAAAGAGATGAAACTTTAAGTTGATTCTCATATGATCTTAAATCTACATATCTAATCACCTCCTACATTTTTGATGAATGATTTGTATTTTGTGGTTACAACCAATGATTATCCACAAAACATATCAACATTGAAGTATCCTTTTAACTATGTTTATCCTGTTTTTAACTTCAATAATAGAAATCAGTACTCTACTATTTTGCAGAATTTGTTTTCTCACTTCACATTATATTGTTTCTCTATTTCTTTAGCCTTGCTCCATGGGATTTGCAACCGGAGGAAGGACTGTCTTTCTGTGGGGAGGCTGCATGATGGTAAAATTGGCATCTTATCTCTTTGTTATAGCTACATGGGATTAACTAAATTTGATATGCAACTCTTATGTATTGGCATTATTCTAGATGCATGCTGAAGACTTTAGGAAAGACTTATATGGAGTTGTGAGTGGGCTTCAAGATGGTGGATACTCGGATGACATGACCCTGGCAGCCATTGCTGGTAATCATTCATAGAGTTTTCTAATTAAAATTTTAGTGTCAAACTCCTCTGACTCTGCAAATGAAGTTATCGCGAGACTATTTTACTTAGTATTGACTTACTGAACTTGTGCTGCATAGTTATTATAATTTTGTATTGCATAAGTGAAGCCTATTGGCAATTTAAGTGTGTTGGTTTCAGCAAAGGTCTACATTTTAATTCTCTGTTGATAAAAAATCTAAAATGTCTGCCAATAGGATGCTTGAAGCATATTATATTTACCTACTGAACTTGTGCTGCATAGTTATTATAATTTTGTATTGCATAAGTGAAGCCTATTGGCAATTTAATTGTGTTGATTTCAGCAAAGGTCTACATTTTAATTCTCTGATGATAAAATATCGAAGATGTCTGCCAATAGGATGCCTGAAGCATATTTTCTTCTCGTCATATGAAACTGATAGATAAAACAATCGTTTAATTTTTGTCATGTCCAGACTTGAGAGTTCAGAGGCAAAACAGTTGTCATGCTAATGGTTTATGTATTGTCTTATGATTGATTAATGATGCATTTGAAATCCAATGAATGTTGCTTCCGGATATTTGGGCAATCAGTACGACTAGTACATACATAAATATGTATCTATGCTCAGTGAAAAATGGCTTCATGTATATATCTATATACTCAATTGTGACAGGCTCTTCTGTAAAACTTCAATTTTCTGCATCAATGGATCTTTGTTCAAGGTTTAAAATTCCAGTCTGCCGATTCTGATTGGAAGTTTGACCAATACAGGCTCTTATGATTGACCGATACAGCCCTTGAAGCACCAATTCTGATTTCAGTCAGTACCATGTGGACCAGGAGAAAGGGGGATAGAAGAATGGAGGATGAGGCAGAGGTGGTGGAGGAGGAAGAGAAGCAGAGGGAGGGAAGTGGAGAAGGAAATGGCGATCTTTATGGGCACAAGAGGCAGCAGTGATGATGCAGAGGGGTGTGGTGATGGAACAGGGGGTGACAAGGCAGTTGCAAGGAGGAAGAGGAGGGGAGAGATATGAAAGAGAGAAAAAAACGGAGAAAGAGATAGGAGAAAGTGAGAAAAAGAAAGAAAAGGAAGGCTAAAGCTGTCGAAAAGAAAAAAAAAGATAGGGATAATGATGGTAGACTTACCATCTGGTATCTCTGGTTTTAACCATCAAAACCAAATGGTATGCAGATTATGATTATCATACCAGGTGTAAGCTCCGGTTCAAACCAGATTAGGCAATTTCACCTGGTCCTCATGTCCCAGCTTGGCTGGACCCATAAATATTGGTCAGTACGTGCTAGTCGCAGTTTTTTAATCCTTGCTATTGTTCTTTCAAGGAGACAAGCTGGTTTTAGATAAAATTTAAATTCTCCAAGGATAGTCCAAGACTATCGACATGATGTAGTTAAAACTTAAAACAGCTTTTGCACATATCAATTTGGTTCCTCTTACCTAAAATCCAAGAAAATGTTCAAGATGAAAGTATCTAACCACATAGGAGAGAGCTATATCAAGTTACGCGTCAGTAAACTGTGCTAATTGCTTGATGGAGGTCAATTTGACATTGTCATTGGATCCCTACAGCAAGATCATGTATAAGACCCAAACTATAGTATCTTGCTTGTGTATTGATTGTTTTAGGGCTAATGCTGCCTAAGGTTGTGAACTACTTGAGCTGGAATTATCTAATTTCTAGTCTGTAGGTACTGCTGAAGCCAGAAGAACTTACAAAAGATGCTGATCTGGATTATTCTTTCATATTCAAAACATAAGATTACACCTATATGAAGAAAAAAATATAGTTGGATTCAAGCATCATGGTGTTCTAAACATATCGTACTGGTCCAACATCTTAATTGTACACAGTATACTGTGCCATGCCAAATTACACTAGCACCAATACTAATTTTTCAAAATTTTAGTAATATATCAAACATATCAAGCAATTCTGGTCTGAGAGAGAACTGGTAGGGGCTTGTTAGCCCAGTTTCTTGCACTTTATATATGTTTTAGGGCACAGGATATATCAAGGTCCTCCTTGTAAGTTTGATAGGGGGAAGGGCTTTAGGTCTTGTATCTATAATGAAAGGTTTGTATGCAATAATGAAAGTTGGCCTATATGTCTTGTGTATCCTTGATTTCTTGTTGAATTCAATCCTTGAATACAGGTCCGAGTCTGACTTGCATGTCCCGAACATTGCTCACTAGTTTAAGATACTAAAAAATACGGAAATAATCTTCCAAAATAATAGTTATTGTAGAGGTTCCACAAAATATTAATTTAAATGGAACTAAGTGCCTAAACTAAGCAAAATCCAATATATATGGTTCTGTCAATTGACTCACCTTTCTTGACTATGCAGAATTATATGAACTTATTTTGGCAAAACCATATTTCTTATATTAGCTCATGCTCATTGGGGTCGTCGCTTACATTCAAGGAGTGAGGGAAAACAATGGAATTAATTTCAGCATGTTGCAACTGAATATTTCTTCCATTTGGTGGTATAGTTTTGCTAGAATTATTTCTTTGAAATGACTTTCTATATCCTAAGTTGTATCTCATTGTTAAAAGAAAAAAAAATTCGAAGATAAAAAATTTTGACCTTGCGAGCCGATGTCTTTTTACATCACCTTTAGTTTCAAATAAGCATGGAACCTCTATTTTGCAGGGCAACATAAGAGGCTTATTTGGTCACCACCAGTTGCTGTCTTCCCCCACCCTCTTGCAAGGGACCTTAGCTTCTCGAGGTTTGTAAACTTCATTATTGGAATTTTTCTCATAATTGATGCACTTTTATTCACCATTTTTTGGTATCATTTTCATGTAGATACTGGAATTACCTAAGAAAGCAAACATTTGTTCTTGAATCCTACATATCGAGGGTTAACTGGCTGATGAACCGTGCCTTGTTTTCTTCACATTGCTATTTATCCTGGGGATTTGTTTGGCCATATTTTATGGCACTGATACATCTTGCAGCAGCCTTAAGAGCACCATATAGTGGTTCTAGATCTGAGGCATCTGCCTCATCTTGTGGTGAGCATGGTTTTCCTTAGTTCTTCAGATATTAGAAAATTGATTGATGGTGAATATGAAACAGGAATGCTGACAGTAGCTTTTCTTTTATATTTTGAGTTAATTAATACTCAAAGATGTATCCACTTGCAAATGTTCAGGCTTGTTGCTGGTTAGCTGCTTGCTTGTATCTACTATTATAGAACTCCTTTCAATGTGGAACTTGACTAAGGTGGAGATCCAATTATGCAATATGTTATCTCCAGAAGGGCCAACAGTCTCACTTGGTTCTTATGATTGGAGACTTGTAAGCATTTCTCTTGCAACTTAATTTCATGATTCTAGGTTTTATTGTATCTATGTGGAATATTTAGGTAAGATATAAGCCGTACATTGTTGTGCAGGTATTTCTTGCTATGCTTGTGGATAACTTCTTGTACCCCATCTCTGCAATTCGTTCACATTTTTCACAATCGATAAATTGGTCCGGTGTCCGATACCACTTGAAGAATGGGAAAATAAGCAAGGTGAATTATGGTCTTTCTAATTTTTTTTTCTTATTTAGATAAAGTTAACTCCAACTGCTATTTATTTTCATCCATTATTGAGAACTTATCCAACAAAAGCCAAGAGGACACAATTTACATATTATTTGGACAATGACAAGTACTTGCATAAACATTATAACTCATGCAAATGAATACTTTTACCTGCATAAGGCACATGCTTGCTCATAAGTCGAAATTGTAGAAGTTAAATTTTTGATAAACATGCCTCCATGAGTCACCTTTTTTCTAATAGATATTCATCTACAATTGCTAAGATTCAGGACAATAATTCTTGTACCTGCATAAGGCACAAATTACATGAAAGGAAGTCGAAATTTAGAAGTTAAATATTTTTATGAACATACCAATCATGATCCAACTTTTTTCTAATTGTTGATTTTCGACACCAGCTAATAGGATGGTTTAAATTAACAGCTGGACTGGTACATCCAACTGATACTGTGGTCCAACCATGATAACTGTTAAACTCTGTACTACTTGTATAATATAATAATTATTTTTTAAGTGATACCATGTGGTATATGTTGCTAAACTACTTGGTATGTTAGTACTATATTGATCCAATTAGTTGCAAAAACTGGAATTGAAATGGTATTTAGAACCTTGGTTAATAGACTTTTTCGACACCACTAGTTGCGCAAAAAATAATTATACCAGAGGAATCATTAGGCCTCAAAATCTATTGTGAAAAGTCAAACCTGTTCATAGCTTTATTTAAGGAATAGGTGATCTCATCCAATATGGACATTACTTTGTCATAAGAACCTAAAACTAGAATGTACAAATGTTTTGTTAAAGAAGATGCCCAGAAAAATACTTATCTATTAGGTCTTCACCTCAAGCATCATTTTCTGGATTGTTTTTTCTCAATTCCTCTAGTAGACACGAAGGGGTGCCGATGGGGTGCTAGGTGGATGTCATAGATTATGCTGCCTTTGTTGTTGATAGAATCAGGGTTTTGAATACCGGTCTGTATCGGCGTACCGAGCTCTGCTCGATACGGTATGTATCGGTATATATCGTCGGGACGTTAGGGCGTACTGATGGTACACTCTAAAATCTTAAAAATATCTTCACCTACCACCCCAGGGTGTACCGAGCTCTGCTCGGTACGGTATGTATCGGTATATATCGTCGGGACGCTAGGGCGTACTGATGGTACACTTTAAAATCTTAAAAATACCTTCACCTACCACCCCAGGGCGTACCGATCGGTATGCCTCGATAACGGTCGAAATCCGAGACGATATCGGTCGGTGTGCCTCGGTACCAGTCAAAACACTGGTACTGCCCGGTAAAGGATGGTCCACATACCGGTATCCTCTCATAACAAGTACGTACCGCCCGTACCGAACAATACACATCGAAATTGAGAACCCTGGATAGAATTATATTGAACAATTTGATTGTTGAAAGAAAACACACGGAGTATAAGATTTATATGGTATTCCTAATTTTCAATCTATTCTTAGTATATATCTACAAAAGAAAACCCAAAATGTTGTCCATGTGTTCTGATATAATGTCAGTGATGAAGTTCTTCATCTAAACAATGCCTAATATCACAGTACTTGCTCTTGATAACTGAACGCTGATCTTGGACTTGGATCCTTGGCCTCTTGCTGCAAATTGCTGAACTTCTGGCAGTTTCTACCAAATCTTCTACTATAGCTCTTTTGTATGTTTGTATATAGTTTACATGTAAAAATCATCCTGCAGATAACCATAGTCATTAACAGTTGCTAATATTAACATTTTTAGTTCCCATGCATGAAATTCTTACCATGTGGAATCTGGCAAGTTACATGTACATAACCTTACCCCTCAAGTGGACAGACTATTATTAATGTATTTGCTTCAAGATTATTGGCATTAGCAACCAACCATTGCCATGCGGGTTTTTTTCTTTATGAAACGTAAAAATGCGGATCACTTGTTGAAGTCCTCTTTTTTCTTAGGCTAAATATGGATTTCTTTTCTTCCCATTTCAAACTTCATTTTTAGTTTGGTTTTTAAGTTTTTTTTTCTTAAATGTGTTTGATTTTATAATGGTTTAAACCTAACGAATACAAATTATGTGATAATGGGAAAGAGGTTGTGAGATTTTAAGATTTATAGCAACATCGGATCCTGTGACTCAAATGATCACAGGATTCCATTGCTTATGCCACTGTCCATATCTTCAAATGATCACATGTATCTTCCATATCTTCAAATGATCACATGTAGGAGCAGAAAAGCATAAAGGAAAAATCATGCATTGAGATGCTGTTAATAAATGTGGTACTATCAGTTACGAATTAGTTTGATTTCCATTATCAAATGAATCTGCAGCCACCACTGGCTCTTACCACTGCATTTATACTTAATAAGCTCGTTATGTTTTCTAATTGCTATGGTTAAACAAATTGAAATTGGAAGTTACTGATCATTACATTAAAACATTTCATTTACCTCTGGAAACACATTTTCCTCAGTATCAAAAGAACTTGCAGATGCTTTTCTTTCTTCGTTTTCAGATTCCGTTGTTTTCACTTGCCTTCTCACTCAACGTTGCTCTGATATAGATAGTAATTGGCAAACACGAAAATAATTGTTCTTTTGTCAACTATATATTGCAGATTGAAAGATCCATGGGAAATGGTCCAACCTACTCTGATCTTGCATGGAAGCATCTGTATGGAAAAAAGCAGTTCACTCCTAAATCTTCATTTCTCAGCTCTTTGTCAAGAAGTATTGTTCATTGGCGCCAACCAAAGAAGTACGATATCTAATTAGATCAATATGCTGCAAAATAGACTCCAGTTCTCCTTCCTTTTCATGCACTGCATTGTACTTATTTTCCTTTCTTCATCCTCTTTAGGCTTTTAAGATCTGATTTAACCTATTGACTCTTATGGTGTCTGGTCATGCTCACCATGGAGAGTTTGTAATGTTTGCTGCATGTATTATTTATAGGAACATTCATTTAAGACAAAATTGTATGATCTTTTCCCTCTTTTATTTCATCTTATTGACTAATCATCTCATCTGTACTTGTCAGTCGCATGTTTAGTCCATAAATTTGGATTGGTGAACAATTTCACTTCATGGACTTTTTGCCAGTGTTTGTTGTTCACCATAACAAGGACTAGATTGCATAATTCGTCGGGCAAAACCAATACAATTTGACTTCAATGGATCAACACAACATTGATTATCAAAAGGATCTCTGATTATCGATGTATTGAATTTTAGTTCCAGTTTGAGATTTTCTTTTGAGATGTAGTAATGTATTGGATTATGCATAAGGAGTCATGAAACGTTTTGTTTTTTGTTTTTTTGAATTGGATCGATTCCTCAAATTAAATAAGTAGGAATAAAGGATCTATTGTCGAAGATACAAAAAATATAGTTTCAATCGTAACTAGATTTTGGATTTTGGTATTGTAAAAGGTATTTTGAAGCCAAAAAAGCTTTTTAAAAAAGAAGTGGTATAGAGTGGTTTCCGTTCGGCATATTGTGGAAATCAAATTCTTTTATGATCCTACGAGTGGAAATAGGGAATGAACTCAAAAGAATAAAGATTTTTTAAATAGGGAATGTTGGATTTTATCGACTTCCTGCTATATATTGCTCGCTGAACACAGTTATGATAGAAGGGTGAATAATAAGATCACCTGTCTTCTTCTCTAAATAAGATGATCAGTTTTGAAGTTTGATCAAACAGATGCTGGGTTCAAGAACACGGCTCATTTTAAAGTATCAAACTACTTGGATACATATTAAGAATGTTCTTCACTCGGTCAACGACACAAAAAGAGTTGGGAGTCTTAGAAATATTGCACAAGAAAGAAAGATAAAGAAACCAAAAATAAATCTTACTGCCACAAGATCTACTAACCATAAAACTAGTGTCCTGTAAAGGTTTTGCATCCTTTGTGTTGATCACCACCAGAAAAGCACATAACACAATGGAGTGGTTCGACCTACAAAACCACTTTTTATCCATCCAATCGAAAGATGATGGGTAGCAAGCTCCTCAAAGTAGGTAATCCTCCACAGAGTTACGAGAAGATTAACATTTCCAATCGAAAGAGGAGTCCGAGAGAAAAAAAGCATCCATCAAGCAATCATTTTTAGAGGAACAAACCAACAAAAGCAAGATCAGTCATTATCCAAGTAAAACAAAATGCACGAGGGATAACAGACCTAAACCGTAAAAGTTGAAGGCATAAACCGCCCCCCAACTTATTAAGCAACATCTTAAGCAGCAAAAGATTAAAAGATCCCCCGGTCCAGCATTAGTTTGAACTTAATGCGATTGTTTAAACACTCATCGGGTAGAATAAACAAGCCTGATCAGTACTTGTAGTCCTTGACATGGAGGCTCTCGGAGACACCTTCTCCTCCGGCAGCATCACCCTTGTACGTCCCGAGTGTTGCCTCGGAGTTCGCCTTGCACCTTGTGAGGAGAGCGGCCCTCGCCTTCTGGACGTTCTCCTCCTTGCCAGCCCACGCCTTGAGTGTGCTCTGCTGCAGAGCGCGGCCGAACGAAAAGGACAGCGACCATGGTTTCTTCCCCTTCAGCTTGTTCATTGCGTTCAGGTTCAGAGTAGCCTCCTCTTCGCTCTGCCCTCCCGAGAGGAAGACGATTGCAGGGACAGCGGCAGGAACAGTCCTCTGGAGAGCTCGCACGGTGTACTCTGCGATCACCTCAGGAGTCACCTTTGCGGATTCTGACCCTGGTGTCACCATGTTTGGTTTCAACAGAGATCCTTCCAGAAGAACATGGTGGTCGTTTAGCGCCTTGTAGCAAGCGGCAAGCACCCGCTCTGTAACATCAGCACATTTCGCGATATCATGTGGCCCATCGACGAGGATCTCTGGTTCTACGATCGGGACGAGGCCATTCTCCTGGCAGATGATAGCATAGCGTGCCAGCCCATCAGCATTTACATCGATCGCCAATTGCGACGGCTCATTTGGACCAATCTTCAGAACGGCACGCCACTTGGCAAAGCGAGCCCCTGCCTCGTAATACTTCTTGCAGCGCTTGCCCAGGTCATCATGACCCTGGGTAGTGGTCTCGCCATTGGTACCAGCGAGTTCAATGGTGCCCTTGTCCACCTTGATACCAGGAAGGACTCCACCCTCCTTGAGCACTTCGACAAAAGGCTTCCCACTGGCTGTCTTCTGGTAGAGGGTCTCCTCGAAGAGGATTACACCACTGAGGTACTGGAGGGCGCCAGGAGCGCAAAAAAGAAGCTCTCGGAGAGAGCGGCGGTTCTCCTCAACATTCTCCACGTTGATGCTAGCAAGGCGCTTGCCTATTGTGCCAGTGGACTCATCAGCAGCAAGGATACCCTTGCCTGGGGTGCCAATGTAGGTAGCATTGGCGATAAGCTCATCTGCAGCATGAAGAAAGTGCAAACTTAGATTCATGGCACACAAGAAGATAATGCATATATCCATGTACAACGATACCGAAAAGTAAACATGCATTAAGGCAAATCATTGATTGGATAAGCCATCATCATCTGATGCAAGTAAAACTTCTATTTATGTTCTGACTAGGGTCATCTAACCACCTCGGCTCAAGCAAAACACACAGACAACCATGCAGATAATGCAATATGCTAGAGATGGATGATGTTATCACACTAGTCGTCCAATCATTTATAGGATAATAGTATCTAATCAATCTTTTAGACATCGGCCTATTTCCTATTACGTGTTACTTATGTCCATAAGTGAGGACAGCATTCATACTTGTTACTCAAATCAAAACATAAATGGTTAGAGCATGTGAAATGTAAAGGTTCGACTAAGGTTTTCTTACATGATGACAACAAGAACAGAGTGATAAGTTTTAGATGCATTATACTACATAAGGGAAAGACGGAAAAGGCAATGAAAAAATAGACATTTGCTTGGAAAGAACCACAGTGTGTATGACTGACGTTAAGAAAATGTGAGGCTGCCTCGAGATTTATTTGATCGAGAAAACAAAATCCAAAGTTTCAAACTAATGTTCGAGATCTACAGAAAAGGAAGGTGCATAATAGCTACTGTGCTCAGAACAGACGAGATATAATAGTAAAAGAGAAGGGGGAAACCCTGCTTTGTCTTTACTATTAGCTCCAAATCAACTCTATAACAGGAAAAGGATAAATCGAGGCGGAAAATAACCCTAGAGAGCAGATCCAAAACAAGAAGATCATAAGACTACCATAAAAAGTCCAAGTGGCCTAACCTTAAGATCCAGATTCTCGACATTTCACTCGATCTATGACAGTACAAGAATAGATCCAAGATCATCTGATCGAGAACCAGGAAAAACACGATTCTTTACAAGCAAGACGCTTCAGATCTACGAAAAATCCCAACCAAACAATCAAATCCACCAAAAAAAGTTGCTCTTCTACGACACGCGGAATCAAGGATTCGATGAAGATCCCCAAAACAACGAAAAAAACCGAGGCTTTACAAGTAGAACGACGGCATCTAAAAGGATCATACCGTGGTACTGGCCGCAGTAGGCAGACATCTTCGAGTTCAGGAAGAGAGAGATCGGAAGAAGAACGAAACGATGGCGCGATAGAGCGTAGGAGAGAAAAGAGAGACGGATCGAGGAGGAAGGGAAAGCAGGGCGGCGGGTATTAATAGAAGGAGATCGAGGAAGAGGAGAAGGATGCGGTCAGCGTCGCCGCGATGGGCACGGGTCAGGGTAGGGTTTGGGGACAGGAGATCGCAACATGTCGGCTCGGCCGTTCTTCGATGGTTTCGTCAAATCTTGTGGCCGCGAGCTGCTTTGGTATTCTCACCATAAAATAACCCCTATACTCACCCCCAAACCCGTCACTCGCTCTCTCACCCCCACAGAACTTTCTATGGGACCCACCAAGTCAGCCGCGGTCACGTTGTGGGTATCGATATGTCACGTGGTACAGCTACGCGCCACCGAGCCGGACCACGAACCACATGGCTAGGCCGCCCGCCACCGGTCTAAACTTACCGTGGGCTATCTATCCCCCACATTGGTTTGGACCTCGGTTAGGTCGAGCCCGTTACGACCCATATAACGCACATATATCGGAACCGTTATAAGCCTCCTCATCACCATATGATGAGAATAAAATGACCATAATAAAATGTGATATTTGCCTGTGGGATTCACTTTGGCCACAAACTTTCTCACTTCTTCCATATAAAAGATCAATAAGATATCACTTTGGGTATCAACACATCTCATGCAAGTAACAGTGTTGCTAATGCCAAACACTTACATTGTACTCTCACAGTAACTTTTTAGGTTCTTTGACACTTCACCAATTCAGCCAGCATCTTTGAGCTGTAAAGGCTCATTGCCTGCATAGGTTATCACACCAGGGGATTAGTTGAAGAAAACCAATAATTTAATTGAAAAGTTGACTTGAATTTTGTTGTGCAAGTTGATCTTTAATTTACTCTCATTCTCCTCCTTTTTCTCAGTCCTGATAGCTTAGCATTATTTTGTAGTTTGCAGACTCCAAGATGCCTTTGTTGAGCTCATCAACTGACAGAAAATAGAGTATATGACAAACATGACTTCTTATCCTGCTTGAACTTGTATGTATTATAAGCTTCTGACATTGTAATCTTTGATGGCACCAAACTGACCTAAATATTTCTCTGAAGAGTAGAAGCCATGACCTCAGAATCTTTCTGAAGCCTCATTGCATCACTAGGCATGCAGGCATATTATTATTTTGTTTACAGTATTCTTCTCTCTAAACAATGAAAATTATGGAGTTAAACAACTGAGGACTGGGAACAGTGACGATGATCCACATCAGACACGGCTCTAAAAATGTCTCAGGGGTGTTTAAGTGCCTGTGTAGCTTAATTATTTAGACCATATGGTTGCCAAATATTAACCATCTAAATTAACAATAAATGTGTCTTAATAGCTCTTGTCATTTGAAAGCTCAAGTCTACCTCATGCAGACCTTTTGAATTCATACAAAATAAAATTACTATTCAAGTAGAAGAATAATGGATGGTTGACATTGTCTTGCAGCTTTCCAGGATTCAAGGATTGATATATAGCTAGCCAAACCAAATCTGAAATCCTTTAGCTGAAACAATACTTGATGCTGCCTTGGTTCCATCACCTTCTTCCTTTACCAATACCTGAGATATCATGAAAGAAATGTCAATCTGGTCCAAATTGTGCATCCTACTTGAACTTACCCGCCAAATGCCAAATGATTCGAGAGTTGTTCTAAGCATCATAAAAAAGAGGAGCTCTTGGTAGATTATTATATTTAGTTTGCCACAATCTCATTGTGAAACTTGTCTTCAAGAATGTCTTCAGCTTTCTGTGTGCACTTGGATTCTCATCCACATGTTTCCTAGCAGAGAGTTTTTTGCTTGAACCAGACAAAGTTTCAAGTAGGTAGGACTTCAGATACAATGGATGAAGGTTGTCATCATCTGAACTAGACTAGGATTTATCATGATCCTATCTAAACTAGATAATACAAATCAATTAAATTATCATCTAAAAAGTTTTTAATTATTTAAATCATTAGCATTCTATTTTAAATTTTTTATAATAAAATAAAATTTTCTCTAATAATAAGTGTTTTGTAACAATATTGCAGACTGCTCGTGTTGTAATACTCTAACTTGATATTGTTATTGATTTGTTCTTAGATAAAGTGATGTCATAGGTCGATATGTTTTCAAAGGGGAGTTGATTCTTTTGCACATTTGTAAAATCTTATTAAACCTTCTTCAATCTAAATTGGGGTTAAATTCTTCTTTAATGATATTATTAGCTCTCCCTGCCATGTAGGCCAAGGAAGTAACACATAAGCATCGGCATAGGAACTACATACTCCCCGCAATCATCAGCATGAGGTTACAATACTTATCCTAACCTCTCAAAATAGACTCACAAGACCCTCTCCTGGCATCACAATCGAGAAGGGGATCATGCCCCCTCATTAATGGATGGCGATATAGCTTGGTTTGACAAACTTTCTCTTTCAAACAGTCGACATAGGGACCATGCCCTGCATAACCCAAAAGAGTAAGGGGGTCAGGCCGGAAGAGCCATCCCGACGGTCCACCCCAAGCCATGCCCCTAAGGGCATACGTCAAGAAGCCACCCTCATTAAATGCCTTCGTCAATATGAGGTAAAGGGGACCTTCATAGGCACTCGTCCATGCCACTAAGTGCTCAAGTATAAAAATAAGTCTCTGGCCAAACAAGGGCAAGCAAGGAAGAACTTTTCACTTTCTTATTACATTGTTAACCTCCCTTTCTATCTCATTAATTTAAACATCGAAGAGGTTGAGTTAGGACACTCTCGACCCAGATCTATTGTGCAAGGTCTTCGACGTAACACGGAGGCTACCCAACATAAGGGACCGCTCAGCTCCCCAATCAAGCTTCATCGCTCGAAGACTAAGTCGTTCCCGACGAACCATCTCTCTCTATAGATTTCTTTGTTTTTCCCTGTAATGCTTGCTGTCCAAGTTAGCCAGGATGAGTTATCAGAATGGACCAACATTTTTGACAGTGAATCAATCAGATTAATTCACCAATCGATGGAGTTTATGTGTTAACAATGAATAATTAATCTAATGATGAATGATTAAAGAAGGGAGTACAGTGGGATAGACGTACCGATGCTTCTAACATTCTTCGTCATCTACCTCTTTTTCGTTCCCATGGAAGGACAGGAATTACACCAAATTCAGCAATCGTTGATCCCATCCCCTTTCCATTCGGTTTAGGGTTATGTCATCCCTTAGGTTAAATGATAACCGCCCCCTCAAGCTCTTCATTGCCTCTTCAAAACAGTCCTCCCTCACCCTTTAGTATTTCTTGCGATGGAACCTATACCAATGCAGAATCCTTTTGCAGGTGTTGATTTCTGGATCGTAGACTCGCACGGCAGTACTATCTTTGAAGGCAGCAAGGTGAATGAAGACCCAAGCCCTTTACTATGCATTGGTAAGCGGTAAAACGGGTCTTTCGCTATTTAAAACATATTGTCATTGAATTCCACTTCATCAAAAATCAAATGGCTAGAGATCATAATACATACATACTTATGATACAGTTTCTCTCACAAAATCTCTCGTCTGTAAAACATTTCAATTACATCGATCCAAGATTGAGATCATTAATAAAAGCTCAATCTTACGCGGGCATAATAGAAGATCATGATAGAATAACTGATCTGATTGAGGATATTTGTTTTCTTATATCCTCAATGTTTTTTAATTTAAAAAAAATTAAAGAATTCATAATTATTAGCATGCCGATAGTCCATACACCGATCTGGTTGGTCTATGATAACATTATATTCAAAAGCAGTAAGACTAGGAAACCATCAACTTATATAACAACTGTATCGGTGTTGGGTTGATGTTTGAATGCGTTCACAGGTGATCATGAGCCATGCTGCTGGACTACGAGAACGGAGAACGAGTAGTTAGCGAAATCGGAGGAGGCAAGCATATCGCCGACCACCCCCAGCTCCGGCGATTCCGTCCACTCCGATAACGCCTCGTCGAGCAACGAGCCGCTGCACTGCCGCCGCCCGACGATCACCAGGTCGCACTCCATTTCGATGGATCGGATGGTAGAGATCATTTGGTTGACGTCATTCACCGCGATCTCCTCCACCGCCACCCGCTCGTTGTCGGCGTTCGCCCTCGTGAACTCCTTGAAGATCATGTCGTCCCATGTCATCTCCTTTTCTTCCTTCCGGTGGACCTGAGGCATGAACCGGCTGACGAAGATGCGGACGCCTGCGTGCCGCGCCAGGCGTGCAGTGTAAGCGAGCGCTTCTCGGTCGTCGTTGCCGCCCCAGAAGAGGACTCTGACGCAGTAGTTGAAGTGTTCGAGAGCGAGCGGCCTGGAGCTGGTGAGAGTCTGGTGGATGAGGACGCCCACCGAGCATGGAGCCTACGGGACGAAGATCGAAAGCCATCGTGTAACTCCTTTTCCGGTCGAGTCATGGGAGAAGAGAAGGCTTGGCGAAGCTAAGCTAACCTGTGAGAGGACCTGGGGAATAATGCTTCGAGCTGCCTGATCTACCTCTCTGCTGCCTCCAGAATCCTTTCTCGGATATGGAACGATGATGAAAGGAACCTTCTTCTCCATGGCGAGGGAGCAGATGTCCTGGTGCATGGTGGCGTAGGGGGAAATGGCAGTGAAGGGGTGGACGACGACGACCCCCTCCTTCTTCTTCTCGACGTTGATGAAGGCGTTGTGAACGCGGTCCATTTGACCAAGGTTGACGAAGACGTCCTTGTGGTTCCGGTGAGCGATGAGGCTGGAGCTCGCCCGGCCGCCCAACTCCACGAGGTGCAGCACGTAGGCGCAGACCGAGCTCTGCTCGTCGGCGCACGACACCTCCACGAGGTTGAGAAGCATCGGGACGGGGCCCTCGTTGAGAACCGAGGCGACGAAGCAGAACTGTTCGTGCGGCTTGAGGTGCTGCAGCGTTCGATTGCCCACCATGCCGCTTGAGCTAAGGGGATCGTAGAGGATGGAGACCAGCAGCGAGGAGATGGCCGTGGCAATGACGATGCCGACCACAACAGCCACGTAGCCTGCAGGGTTCAACGCCTGCAGAAGAGGACAGCAAGGATCAGCTTCATGTGAGCTAATTGCACCTCAGAAATGATATGGCAAGTGCGCGTACTCCACACACATAGACTGCACGATATGTTCACCAATCACATTAAGCGAGGTCTCCTCAAGTCAAAATTGAATCATAGTCAACGATTACTTGGAAATTGGTCAACTCTATTGTATGTATAGATACATGGAGAGGGGAAGGTATACATACAGTGACGTTCTTCAAATTGAGGTAGACCATGAGCTCCACCAGACCTTTAAAGTTCAACATGAGCCCCAGCACGGCGGCGTTGCGGATCGACGACTTGCTATAGACGGCGGGCGCCACGGCGACGAGGACCTTGACGACATGCCCCGCGAGCATGAACAGAAGCAACCACAGCAGCGGCACGGGTTGATGGATGGAAGCGAAGTCGGTCGCCCACCCTATGCCCAAGAAGAACACCGGCAGCAGTACTTCCGTCGATATGAGCTCTAAGCGCTCCACCAACGCCATTCCCAGCGGCGGTCCATCCGGCACTAAGAGCCCCATGATCAGCGGCGCGTCCATGAACCCCAGCCCAAAGGCATCACTCATGACGCCCATGGCCAGCACAGCCAGCATAACCATCAAGATGTGCACTTCCCCAATGCGGCCACCCTTCGGGGTCCTCCTCACGATCCACCGCATCCATAGGTTGATCATGACGAAAACGGAGATCACGATGGCGAGGGAAGTTACCAGCTCCAGCAGTGCTCCGATGACGCCGTTCTTGTTCCAGCTCAGTTGGACCACCGGAAAGACCGCGAAGATGGTCCACCTGGTTAGCTCATTGACCATGGACGCCGACATGGCGAGGCGGCCAAGCTCGGTGTTGAGCAGCCGAAGCTCCGTGAGGATGTCCGCCAACACCGGCGGGGAGGAGGCACTGACCGTCGCGGCAATGTCGATGAATACGCTCGCCTGCCCGATGCCATCCACGACGCTGATGGTACTCTTGTCCTCTCGGACATATTCCCGGCTCTTGAACAGCCGACCGAACGGGAGGAGGACCACGAAGGGCACCATCATGCTGCAGAAGCCGATGAAGAAGGCTTTCTTCCCGCATCGCCAAGCGTCGCGAGGGTCTATCTTGACACCGATCAAGAAGAACTTGAGCATGACGCCGTAAGCGGCCATGGTGCGGGTCAGGGACAGCGCATCTCGTCGGAACAGCATCTCCGTGTAATTCCGTATGAGGTGGTCGAACGTACCACGGGGGAAGAAAGGCAATCGGGAAAGCAGAGACGGCAATATCGGATGTCCCAAAAGTATACCACCCTAGACACAGAAGCAAATCAAGGAACATGCACGAAGAGAAGAGATCAGGGTAAGGGAGGAAGAAGCAGAGCGAGAGGGTTACGATGATGTCGCAGACGATCCGAGGCTGCCTGAGGGGGCGGAGGAGGAAGTAGATGATGCGGGAGGTGAGGACAGTGATGATGATCTGTAACATGAAGAGGGGGATGGCGTCTCTGAGGGGCTCCTCGTGATAGAACACGCCATTAGAGAAAGGTTTGGCGACGATGCACGCCGCCTGCTCCTCCGCTCCGTAGGTCGCCATTTCTTGCATGTGATCAGTTCCACCTCCTCCTCGTCTACTTGCAATTGGTCGCGCGTCCCCGGCCTGGCCGACAGGGGAGAGGTAAGAGAAGGAAGGAGCCGAGTGAGGTGGGGAAGGAGGGGATGGGTGGCCGGGAGACGGACTTGGGCTGCTCCAGATTGTCCACGTCTAATAACAATAAAGCAAGGAAACTGCTAATTTTTACTTTGATGATGATGCCAAAGGTTGTTATAAGACAACCAATGAATTCATTGGCAGTATGCCTAAACCGAGTCTGCTTTATGTTCTTTATCTATTATCTCACACATATTTATATATATATAAACATTATCTCTTCATTTTTTGCATGTTAATATCAACAAAAGAGAGACTTAATTATTAGAAAATTATAATTATAAGTAGTAAACATCTAAATTATTAGAAATTAGTAATAAATTAAACAATCTTAAACAAATGAAAAAGAAAAACTTCAATAGTGTGGGATACGATAAACATTTATCAAAATTAAATAAAACCCGAGAATATCAAAGAAGTAATGTCATTTATATAATTCAAAATAAATTGTTCGGCAATATAAAAGAAATAGTTTTCCAGCATAGTTCACGATGATAATTGATAGAGCATATTTTGATATCGTCTTGTCGTAATAATGCAAGCACTTAAAAATGAGCTCGGTGTAGAATTATAGTGAGATTTTCTCGAAAGTAAAAGAAAGATGATTGGCTGATTATGTCCAGTGGAATTGTACAAAAACATAGATAATGCAAAACACATGTATTATGCAAATTAATGGTAATTAATTTTTTTTTTTATGAAATAAATATTTGAAAATAAGTCTGACAGAATATGGAATGAATTCATTTAGATACAGATAATATAATAAAAGATTTATTTAAATTTACTCAAAGATTAATGATTAAAATTATTTTAAAAAGATAACTAATTGATGATGCTTAGTGGATTTATTTGGATATGAATAATGTAACAAGAGATATCATTTGAATTAGTCAATTAAAGATTTTTCACTGAGTACTAATTTTGCTGTTAAATTAAATAAAAAAATATTAATAAAAACTAAATAAAAAATATTTATAATAACGATGCCACGTGTCACTTTAGAAGATCGATCGGCGTGTGCCAGAACCATTACATCTTTATCCGCGGCATCGGTTCATTTGTCTCGTTCTATCCTCGTAAGCTCCGGCGGGGCTGCAGTGAAGCCGCATCACCAACCATATCAGAGAAGATCCGGCCTGTCGATTCCAAATCGACGGTTGATATCGCTTCCGACCTTTGAACCTCGCTCGCAAGTAGTCATATCCCCCAGCGGCTTCAAACCCTCCTCTATAGCCCGCCCCTCCTCCCTCCCCCCCCCCTCACCCTTCGTTTCCTGCGATTTATCTGCGCGATGGCCAAGGGGAGGAGAGAGCGGCGGATTCTGGTGGTCACCGGAGCAGCTGCCTTCGTCGCCGTCGGTCTAAAACTCCTCGTCTCCGCCATCAAAGCCCACAAACAAAGGAGAAGGAAGATGCCAGGTGCCAGAAGTCTATCCCTTGGTCTTCGGGATTGGATTGAAACCTGCCCTTCTGTGCCTCGTCCTTTCTTCCCCGTTTGGCGTAATGCAGTAGAACTAGGATCATGCTTTGCTATGCTTGGCGAATTTTGGGTTGGGTTAGGGTTTTCTCGACAACTTGCAGATGACCTTACTGGTGATTTGCAATGTCGATTTCTTTTTCTTTATGTTGTCTCCGACGAATGTTCATCGACATTGGAGTTTCTTTGCAACGTATGGGCAGTTAGGTAGCTGATCTTCGTTTCCTGTATTATCGTTCGGAGGACGAAGAAGATTGGGAAGAAACTTTAGCATGCAGTGGTAAATCTGAAAAGAAGTTTCGGTCTTTCATAGTTTAGTGTTTTACTTAAATATAAGTTTTGGGAAATGCAAGCGGATTTCTCATAAAGTGTGAGGTTAATATAAGGATGATTATAGCGACAGCAGGATATTTTTGTGATTAGATGATATTTGGATGAAGGACAATTGGTCGTGATGCTGGACTTCTTAGGAAGTATTGTGAGATGATTGATCGATTGAGGTGATGCTATAGCATGCTCTTCAATCAAAATTGTGGTGCTAGTGGGAACGTTTTCCCTGAGGTCCAAATTAGTGGGGCAATTCCAGCTGGTCTTGCCAGAAAGTGTGTGTTAGTTCAAACATTCTCTATTAGTCAGAGTTATCTTTGGACTTATTATTGGAGAATCATTTTTGACAAGTCATGCAAATGATGTTTGATATGATATAAAATTCTTCTTGTTTTTGAAATTTGAGGTCCTCAGAGAATTTTTTTCTACTATATGAGTTTCTTCACCATGACTATAAATACCTACTGTTTTTAGTCTTTCCCAGATAGTCATACGCTTTCAGTTTGAAATGAGATCAGGTGGTATGGATGAAAATCATATTAGTTGTTTCCAATCTCTTAAATTTGGTTTTATTAGCTTTGAGGTTCAATGAACATGTATCATTTGCTAGGGGGTTTCTGCAATTTGATAGTTCATATATGTTTCAAGATCTACATGAGCTTTAGTTGGTGTCATGTCTGTTTTAATAAGCATGATCTGGATTCATTGAAAAAGGTGGCATGAAAACCATAGAATTAGGCAAGTTCCTTATGCAAAATCTCGTAGACTCATAGATGTTGATATGGATTGCCAATAAATAATTCTTGAAATTTAATTGGTATTAGTTCTGAAAAATATTTTGTGCTATTTTTTCTCCTTTATGATGTAGAGAAGTTAAAATTATGTCACCTGAAAATATGTGTATATGGCAGTGTCATTACAAATTGAGAAAAAAAAAATCATGAATGGTTATTATTAGATATATGGTTTAGCAAACTAACACAAATTTTTATATTGTTAAATATTGTTTTCTCATCCTAACATTATAAAGGTTAGATTGTTCTGTGAAAATGTTTGCAGCAACCTAGTTCTCTAAGATGCTTTGTGCAGGGAATTGTGGTTTTTGATTTTAAAGGGCACTCTATTACAGAATCGATGTCGTCTTATAAACAATGCTAAGTTGTTTTCTTTAAAAAATGGCAGATGTTCCTGGGTCAAGGGTACTTGTCAACCTATCTGCTTCAGAAATTCAAAGGTTAACTGATCAGATCATTGCTAAATCAAAAGAAGTATATGATTTGGTTGCATCAGTTCCCCTTGAGAAAGTATAATCTCTTTTTGGATCTTTTCCGAAATTACCATCTCATTCTATGTATGATTTTATTTAGAGTATGAAGCCTTCTTTTTTTATTCAATATATCTCTAAATTCCTGTCAAGTCCATGCCGCAATGAATCAATGAGGTTCTTTTACAGTTTTTTTTAATCTTAGTCCACAATTAAGTTTTGTCCACAATTATTTAGGAACTTGCTTTATTACAAATTGTGCTGCATTGATTATGGTCAGTATATATAAATTATCATAAAATGCAAAATTTATTCCATGCCTTAATAACTTCTATTGCATTATTTATCTTAATGAATCTTTTTCTTGTGATATGTGTCTCTACAATGGTAACTTATAATAAATAAAATGATTAATTCATCTTGGTGGTGATTGACTTCCTGTCAGAATTAGACCAGAAACTATTTTAATATGTCGGGCTTGCATTCATTCATAAGTTATTATACTATCAGAGCTGCTATTGAATTTTAATGATTTTTGCAGGTCTCTTACACGAATGTTATCGCCCCTTTGGCAGAACTAGAAGCTTATCAATTTTCATCAGTTCAATCTTGTGTCTTTCCAAAAATGGTTTCTCCTTCAAATGATATTCGCAAAGCAAGTGCAGAAGCAGAAAGTCGATTGAACTTACACTTTTTAACATGCAGGTGCGATGTTTTACCCTCTTAGTCTACTGTTGGTCTATATTAATGTACACTATGCTTTAGAAATTTGTTCTCTTAGAGATGTTGGAGGCAAGGAGAAAGTTATACTCTTCAGCTCCATGTTAGGCCTGTTCACACTGGGTTGCTCTTTCTTTCTTTATTTTCTGCCACTTCATGGGGAGTTTATTTTGATTTTGTAATGTGATCTTGCTTGATTGCAGAAGAATCTGTCTAAGGAATTTGATTGCCTTTTATAACAGGATCTTCTATGCAATTTTTTTGGGTTTCAAATGATGTGTATCAACATCCGTATGATTGAGATTCAATATATGTGTGGCTATAAATGTAACTTTTTGATCTATCATTTTATTACAGAGTGGTGTATGTATGCTGCTGTATGATTCTAGTTAGTTCAAAGTTGATCAATGGATATTTTAGACTGATTTGCTGGATAATTAAAGATAAGTGAAGGGAATTATAATTAATTTATTTCACAATATTGTTTTTAACATTGATATTCTGTGTTTTATTGGTCTAGAACAATAGGCTAATCTGTAGCTTGGATTTTTTTGGGTCTGTCTTGCATTTTAACTGCTATTACTTCTCATGCAAGGTAACCAGAAAGCGTGAGGATGTATATCGTGTCACTAAGGCTTTTGCTGATAGAGGAGAATGGCTAGGCTATGAAGCAAAACGATACACCCAATGCTTGGTAAAGAAACTCTGGCACATCTTATCATTTTTATGGGATTGCATGGATATATCATGTACATGATTTTTGTTAAATTCAGAATAACTGTTCTTTCTATTAAATATTTGCCTACCTTTCTAAATGTCTGTTGCATGTGCTTTATTGATTTCCTTGTTTTTTATACTCAACAGTCAACATGGATTTATTGTTTAGCTACTTGACATATATCTGGCATG